AGGGAGGGGGAAGCAGGAAAAGCAGGTAGGATTAGGGTCTGGAAGTGTTTACTTTTTCCCTCTTAAGATAAGAGGAAATCTGCTTATCTTATCTTTGGAGGTCAGAGGAAAGGCAGGCTGCTTCTCAGCAGAGTTTGTTTCTCTTGACTTCAAAGGTCAAGGTTCTTATCAGCTAAGTTCCCTTTTTCAGGCTCCAAAGTCTGTAGGTCCCTGTTGGGGAGGGGGGAAGCTGCTGCTGTTTGGAACCCTAACACTGGGTGCTGATGCTTACTGTCTCCCTAACATCCCCACTGTGCTGTTTCCTGCTGCTCTGACCTTGACCTGTCATTGTTTCATTCATTCATTCCTCCACCCATGCCCGAATCGTTCATTCCCCGAGTAAAGCCTTGAACATTTTAGTATTCATGGCCCCTGAGCACATATCATGCAAAAAGGGTAAACTAATATCTATGTCAAGATCATCAGGGTGGAACGGGATGACCAATGTATTAGTAAACAAGTAAATGGTCAACAAGGCCTGTAATTCCAGCACCCAAGAGGTGGAGGCAGGAGGATCAGGAGTTCCAGGTCAGCTTTGGCAACATAGTGAGTTTGAAGCAAGACTGAGTTACATGAGACTTTGTCTCACAAAACTAAAACCAGCCTGGGAAGATGGATTCTGGGTAAAGGTGCTTGGCACCAAGCCCCATGGTGGAAGGAGAGATGATTCCAGAAAGCTATCCTGACAGGCACGTGTGTGCGCATACACATACACAAATAAATCAAAATCAACCCAAACCAAAACACTGGGCTGGGAATGTAGCTCAGTGAGTAAAATGTTTGCCTAGCATCACATAAACCAGGTGTGTTAGTGCATACATACCTGTGACCCTAGCACTCAGGAGGTAGAAGGATCAGAAATTCAAGACCTTCCTTGGCAACAGAGTGAGTTTGAGGCCAGCTGGGGCCACAGGAGACCTGTCTCAAAACAATCAAATACAAAAACAAAAAGCCTAAACTTTGGACAGACTGTTGGGTGTTGGTGGAGTTACGAAGACACATGACTGGGACCCTGGCTTAGCCCTGTGTTCCTCCTGTTTATGTCTTAGGCTTTGAGTGCTTAGACCTAGTCCCTGTATATAAATAAAGCCCCGGTAGTATACCACCTCAAGCAAACCTTTCTGAAAGTCTGTCCCCACCTGTCTCTCTGGGTTTCTATCACCCTCTCAGTGTGTGTGTCTCTCTCTGGGTCTCTGTCCTCTCTCTTTTGGCCTTTCTCTTTGTCTCTGGATCTTCATCTTTCTCTCTCTTTCTCTCTCTAGGTCTGTTTCTCTCTGCTGAGTCTCTGTCTGTGTCTCTGTATCTCTGGGTCTCTCTTTCTCTCTCTCTGGGTTCCTGCCCCCCATATCTCTCTCCCCAGGTCTCTCTGGTTCTCTGCCTCTGTCTCTCCCTCTCTCTGGATTTCTGTCCCCCCATATCTCTCTCCTCAGGTCTCTCCTCTCTCTCTCTCTCTCTCTCTCTCTCTCTCTCTCTCTCCTTTCTGTCTGCTCAGCCTCTTCCTCACCTCTCTTCCCAGGACAGCTCGGGGCTTCGGCTGTGGAAACGCCGTTGGTTCGTCCTCTCAGGCCATTGCCTCTTCTACTACAAGGGTCAGTGCCCCAGCAGGCCCTTCCCTCCCCTCCCCACCCTCCGACCCCTTATGGACCCCTGACCTCCACCCCTATGTGCAGACAGCCGAGAGGAGAGTGTCCTGGGTAGCGTCCTACTGCCCAGCTACAGTGTCAGGCCTGACGGGCCAGGGGCCCCCCGGGGCCGGCGCTTCACCTTCACAGTAAGTGTACCCGTGGGTGCTTGGCTAGGTGCTGAGTGTGGATGCAAGGGGAGCATGCATTGGGGTTCCCACCACTGGAGATAGGAGATCTTACCATGCTTTCTCCTTGAGTCCTTCTGGGGAAACCTCTGTCCCTTGTAGGCGGAGCACCCGGGAATGAGGACCTATGTCCTGGCTGCGGACACACTGGAGGACCTGAGGGGTTGGCTACGGGCTCTGGGTCGGGCGTCTCGTGCTGAGGGAGATGACAGGTAAGTGGAAGCCCAGGTCACACCCCTGATCACGTTGAGCTCCTCCCCCAGATGTTGAACAATCAATAATCATCATAGCTAGTTCTAGCTAAGGTGACTCTGCCTTCTAAGCCCCCAGGGAACTTCAATTCCTCCAGTCATCACATGGCAGCCTCTTTATGTCCACTACCTTCTTTAGACCCAGCCCCAATCAGAATCCAATAGACATCCTCTGTTCCACCGCAGAGTTAGCAAAAAGTCCCAGTCTCTGATTAGTTTCATCAGTGCACTCCCAGGCCCCATAAACCCTAAAGTCAGCTTTGAGGCCAGCCCCCCCACCTATATTTACTATTGTTTTATTTTGTTTGAGACGGGGCCTCACTATGTAGCCCTAGCTGGCCTGGAACTCACTATGTAAACCAGGCTAGCCTAGTATTCCAAGAGATCTGTCTGCCTCTGCCTCCTGAGCTGGGATAATAGGTGTTCACCACCATGCCCTGTGAACTTGAATTTTTGATCTTCCTGCCTTCACCTCCCAAAGGCTGGGATTACAGGCATGCATGACCACACTCAGTTTACTTGGTCTGGGGATCAAACTGAGGGCCTCCTATATGGTAGACAGTAGTCCAGGTTGTTCTCAAACATTATGCAACCCAGAGTCTAGGTTAGCCTTGAACTTGGGCTCTTCCTGCCTCAGCCAAGCAAAAAAATTTCAAAAGATTGAGTTTCGGCTGGGCATGGTGGCACACACCTTTAATCCCAGAATTTGGGAGGCAGAGGCAGGCAGATCTCTGTGAGTTCGAGGCCAGTCTGATCTACATCTTAAAAAAAAAAATCAGTTTTGAGCCAAGCCTGGTGGTGCACACCTTTAATCCAGCATTTGGGAGGCAGAGGTTGTCAGATCTCTGTGGGATGAGGCCAGCCTGGTCCACATAGTGAGTCCATTGCTTAGGCTACAGAGAAACCCTGTCTCAAGATACCAAACTGGCCAGAGAGATGGCTTAGTGCTTAAGAGCACTGACTACTCTTGCAGAAGACTCTGATTGATTAGAATCCCAGCACTCACATGGTGACTAACAGAAATTTATACCTCTGGTTCCAGGGGATCCAACGCCCTCTTCTGACCTCCATGGGTATTGCATGACACGGGTACACTTACATACATGCAGGCAATACACTCACGCATATAAAATAAAAATAAAATTTTAAAAAGCCAAACCAATCAACCAGCTAAACAAAACCCAAACCAAATCTCGGGCTTATTCCCAGCCTGCCCCAATTCCCATACCTCTGGGCACTTGGTCCTGTGTCTTGGATGGACCCAGTGGCTTGTTAGGGGAAAAAGAATGATACCTCTCCCTATGCCCACTCACTAGTGGGCTACCTAGGTCACCTGCACGTCCCCAGCCTGGTGAAGGCCCTGGTGGACCCGGGGGTCCCCCAGAGGTGAGCACAAAGGAAGAGAGGCACTTATCAGATTCACCAGAGGTGGCTCGGCTCTCCAGAGGTTGTGGAAGACATGGACGGCTGACTCCCAGCCCCACAGCTGACTTGCAGTCTGGAACCTTGAGTGGGAGGACCAGGAGCCCAGAGTAAGTAGAGAGCTGCTGGGGCGTGACCTGTGGATGGGGCGGAGCCAGGACCCGGTTAGGGGCGTGGCCTAAGGGAAGGCCAGGATAGGGGAGTGGTTGAAAGTGTGACCTATGGGCAGAGTCAATGGAGGGGCGGGGCCAGGGTTGATTGGAGGCGTGGCCTAAGGAAAGGCTGGTGTTGGGCGTGGCCTAAGAGAAAGGCGGAGTCTGGAACTGCTAGGAGGCGGGGCATCATGGCTGAGGACGGGGCTTAGTACTTTGCATTTGTAGATGGGAGTTGTTGGAGTTCCAGTGGCTTACATACTATCCAGCAAGAGGGTAAGAGTTAAGGAAAAGCTGTCACCAAGAGCAACTGGTGATCTGCATTCAGAGGACCAGTGAGACTTAGGGTAGTGCGATGCATTGGGGGCAGGGGCTCAGGCTGACTCAGTTTCCCAATTCTCTCCTTCCCACAGTCTATTCAAACCCCTCTCTCACCCTCCCTCCCCTCTGAGCCGTCCCCGTCCCCGTTCCGCCCCTGCCCGGCGACCCCCTCCCTCATCAGGAGACATCTCACTCCCTGCTCGACCTCACACCCCCTTGAGTCGCATCGATGTCCGACCTCCTCTGGATTGGGTACCCCAAAGACAAACTCTCTCCAGGACCCCCACTCCACGCCGAGGACTCTCCTATGAGGCTGGAGGGGGACAGCCGCCCAGGAGCCCCCAGCCCTGGAGACAGGAGCCCAGAACACAGGTGAGTGGAGAAAGAAAACTACATTTCCCATCAGGCTTGGGAGCTCGCTTTCTAGGCTTGCTACCGAGTCACTGCCTCCTAGGCATCATGGGGATTGTAGTTCGCACACAAGTTCCTAGCTTAGCGGAGGATAGTAGAGTCTGCTATCAGGCCTCAGGAACTCTGTGGTTTGTGTGTGTGTGTGTGTGTGTGTGTGTGTGTGTGTGTGTGTGTGTGTGTGTGTGTGTGTGTGTGTGTGTGTGTGATTGATCCTTATGCGTTATGGGTATTGTAGCAGACACTGTGACAAAGTACTTTGAGTCCCAGTTTATCTTTTCAAGATGGCCGCCTGATATTTGGTCGTGTGTTTTTTGGTTTGTTTTGTAGCTGAGAAAGTGTATGTGCCCTGAACCCAATGCCTAACAGTCTAGGCAAGTTCTCTATCACTGAATCACTCTCTGGCCTCTTTTTAACATCTAATTTTGAGACAGGGTCTCCCAAGTGATAGATAAAAAGTTGTCAAATGATGAATAGGGTTGATCAGGAGAAAGCAGAGTTTATTAGCAAAGGAACACACGGGACAGATTCCCTTCCAGGCAGGGAAAATATCTGCCCCGGGTCGTGAGCTGGGGTCTTTTTTTTTTAAAGGGAGGCTTCTACTTCCTGCAGAAGGCGGGAAGATGTTTTTTTTTTAAAAAAAAGTTGGGTGGAGAGAGAGCCGGACTGTTAAAACCTGTTCTCTTTAGAGATCAAAAGAGAAGCCTGCTGTGTTTGGCCAAACAGTAGAGAAAAGTCTGGTTCTCTTGATTTCAAAGACCAGGGCCCTTATCAGTTCGGTTCCCTTTTCTTCGGAGCATGAGAAGTCCTTGGGACCCTGTTGGTGAGGGGGCAAGGCTATCTGAACCTTAACACCAAGTTGCCAAGGCTTCTTTGAACTTACTTTGTAACCCAGGGTGACTTTAACTTTGTAATTCTCCTACTCCAGCAAGATTTTTTTTTTTTTTTTTTGTCTTTTTGAGACAGGGTCTCCCTGTAGCTCCAGCTGACCTGGAACTCACTATGTAGACCAGACTGGCCTTGAACTCACAGAGATCTGCCTGTCTCTGCCTCCTGAGTGCTGGGATTAAAGACGTGTGCCACCACGCCCAGCATCAGCAAGATTTTTAAATTCACTTTTATTTATGTGTATGTGTATGTGTATGTGCCTGCATGAGTGTGTGTGCACTATGTGTGTGCAGGTGCCAGTAGGAATCCCTTGGAACTGGAATTGCAAGTGGCTGTGAGCTGCCAGATGTGGGTGCTGGAAACCAAACTCCAGTTTTCTAAAACCACTGAAACATCTCTCCAGCATCTCTCCAGCAGGCACCTATGGGAGCCAGAAGAGGGTGTCAGATCCCCTGGAACTGGGGTTACAGGTGGTTGTGATCTGCCTTATGTGGGTACTGGGAACTGAACTCTGGTGCTCTGTAAGAGTAGTAAACACTCTTAACCCCTGAGCCATCTCTCTAGCCCCATGATTTATTTTTAGTTTTAATTATGTGTGTGCACATGAATGCAGGTGCCTGAGGGCATCAGAAGAGGGTGTGGGATCCTCAGGAGCTGCTGTGAGCTGCCTCACGTGGGTGCTGGTAACACAACTCGTCCTCTGCAAGAACAGTACACACTCTTTTTGTAAATAAATATTTTGTTATTTTTTATTTTATATGTATGAGTGTATTACCTGCATGTGTGTAAGCGCGCCCACGTTGTACAATGCCGAGGTCAGAAAAGGGTGTCGAATTTCCTGGAACTGGAGTTACAAAGGGTTGTTAGTTGCCTTGTGGGTGCTGAGATTTGAACCTGAGTCTTCTGCAAGAGCAGCCAGTGCTCTTAACCTCTGAGCCATCTCTCTAGCCCCTGACATATCAGTGTCTAAGCATTTCTGATTCATTCTTCTTCCAAGGCCTCCTCTGGTTCATCCACCTATCTCCAGCTGCCCCCGAGACCTCCCGGAACCCGGGCCTCCATGGTTTTGTTGGTATGTATCTTAGGGCACCTCAAATATACCAGAGCCCCTCTCTTGGTATTTTGTTTTTGTTTTTGTTTGCTGTAAGGAATGTTATCTCCTGGCCAAGGAGCTTCCAGAAACCAGACAGTCCAGGTCTTTGGCTAGGTACTTTTTAGTTTCCTATGGCAGATAGAACAAGGTACTCCGGGAATTTGTTTCCACACTGCCCTGGAGGCTAGGGTTTGATGTTGAGATTCAGCAGGGCTTCATCCCTTCCAGGCCATGACTTTCCTCTTCTGTTCTTGCCTCCAGTGTGGCTTGTGTGGCTTGTCATGTCTTGAATCACCCCATTGTCAGGTGGGCATCTTCTGTTGTGTTTGTCAGGTGTCTCTTTCCCCTGTATAAGGACGTTAGTGTGATTTCATAGGAAATTATGTTGAAGGACAACATTTTGGGGCTAGGGACATGGCTCAGGTGATAGAGTGCTTGCTAAGCATACAGAAAGCCCTGGGCTTGATCCCCTATACTACATAAACTCTTTGGGTATGGTGGTACATATAATCCAGCACCAGAGAGGCGGAGGCAGGAGGATCAGCTCAAGGTCATCCTTAGGCTACAGAAGTTCAAGGCCAGCTTGGGGTATATGAGGCCCTCTCTGGAAAAAGAAAAAAACAAAAGAAAGAAAAAGTAAAGGAAAAAATTTCAACCATGGTGTTTAACTGTCTAAATGGCTTCAATTAAAAAAAGTATTATTTTATTTATTTTTGCTCTTTTTGAGTCAGGGTCTCCTTGTAGCCCCAGCTGGCCTGGTATTCCCTACGTAGACTAGGCTGACCTTGAACTCATAGAGATCCATAGACCAGGCTGACCTTGAACTCATAGAGATCTGCCTGCCGAGATCCGCCTGCCTCTGCCCCCCAAGTACTAGGATTAAAGGAGTGAGCCACCAGACCCAGCTTATTTATTATTTTTATTTTTACTGTGTATGAGTATATTGCCTACATGTATGTAAGTGCACCCTTGGAGGTCAGAAGAGGGTGTTACTCCCTGGAACTGAAGTTACAGATGGTTTTAGCTGCCATGTGGGTGCTGGGACTCCAACCTGGGTCCTCTGCAAGAGCAGTCAGTGTTCTTAACTGCTGAGCCATTTCTCCAGCCCGGGTTTTAGTTTTTTAAAAATTATTTTTAGGACTGGAGAGATTGGTCAATGGTTAAGAACACTGGTTGTTCTTGCAGAGGACCTGGGTTTGATTCCCAGCACCCACACAATCCAGTCCCAGGGGATCCGACAACCTCTTCTGACCTCTGCAGGCATTGTACTACATGGGTGCACTTACCTACATGCAGGTAATACACGCATACACATAAAATAAAAATAATAAAATAAAAATTAAAAAATTGTTTTTATTATCTGTGTGCCACAACACACATACGAAGGCTAGAGACAACTTTGTGGGGTCAGCTCTTCCCTTCCACCTTTTCATGGGTTCTGGGGATTGAACTCAGGTCACTAAGCTTGGACAGCAAGCGCTTTTACATACTGAGCCACCTGACTGGCCCTTTTTGTTTTGACTCTAGAACTAGGTAATACTTCATCCCACAAAGCAGTATTCCCACAGGCTGAGCAAAAGAGGTTACAGAGAAAAGTTGGAGAAGGCAAAACCAAAGAACAAAAGCAATTGGCCAGCCAGCCCAGTGGCACACACCTGTAGTGCCACTGGGAGGTGGGGGCAGGAGGGAGTTATTCTCAACTACACAGCAGGTTTGCGGCTAGCCTGGGCTATGTGACACCCTGTCTCAAAAACAACAAGAAAAAAAGCTTCTCAAATCAGAGGTGTTGAGAATCACAGCAGATTCCAGAAAAGAATGAGAGAGGGAGAGAATGATAGAGCAAGGTTCATGTCTATCCAGGGAACAGATGGAGACCTTCCAGGAACTGGGGTTTTGGGTGCGGACCTTCGGAGACCTTTTCTCCTGGCCAAGGGGCCAACAGGAGACCAGGCAGTCCGGGTCCTTGAATAGACACCTAATTAGTTTCCTCATGGCTAATGAACAAGGTACCACCCGAAATTTGTTCTCACACTGCTCTGGAGGTAAGGGTCTGATGTTGTGATGTCAGCAGGGCCTCAGTCCCTCCCAGTGGCAGCTGGTGAGGACCTTCAGGGACAGGGTCTCATGTAGCCCAGGCTGGCCTCAAACTCACTGTGTAGCTGAGGATGACCTTGAATACCTGATCCTCCTGCCTCCACCCCCTGAAGGCTGGGATGACAGGTGTGGGCCACCATGCTTGGCAGTGTCTACATTCTTGCGGTGGGGGAGAGAGAGGTTAGCTCAATACTGAAGTCCTTGGGGGGGGGTCGCTTCCCAGGGTGACTTGTCACACCTTGGGGGAATTCACCTCAGAGAAAAACTCCCTCCACCACCACCAGAGTTGGGGAGGGGTCCCCAATCAAGATCCACACAAGGGATGCGCATGTTCACTGGCAGATCTGAGGCGGGCCTGTCCCAAAGGTTAAGATGGTGGAGGGCACAGACATGTGAAGAGAGATGTCAGGACTTTATATGCGTCCCCAAGCAAAGAGCTGGTATTTTCCTCAGAAGTGACTTTCAAGTCCCTGAAAACTCACCTAGGCACCTAGGCAGCTGTCATCACAACACCCAAAGCAGGGATGTCACTTGTGGGACCTCCAGGAGGAGTGATCATGTGTGTGTGTGTGTGTGTCTGTGTGTGTGTGTGTGTAAGAGTGATTGTGTGTGTGTGTGAATGTGGAAGAGTGTGTCTTCATGGGTGTGTACGTGTGTGACTGTGCTTGTTTATGTTTGTGTGTATGTGTGTGTGAGTATATGTATGTGTGTGAGCATGAATGTATGTATATATGTGTTCAAGTGTGTATGTGTGTAAGTTCATGCATGTGTGATCATGCATTTACATGTATCCATGCATGAGTGCATTCACATGTGTGAGTTCATGTGTCAGAACGTGAGTGTGTGAGTACCACAGCACCCATGTGGAGGTCAGTGGACAACGTTAGGTGGCCTCCTCATCGTCTGCCTTCTTTGAGATGGGGCTATTGCAGTTCACCACTGCTTCTGTCAGACTGGCTGGCCCACGAGTTTCCTGGATTCTCCACCTCCCTTCTCACCACAGGAACGCTGGGATTACAGGCACTAGCTCCTAGGCCTGCCCAGGGATCTGAACCCAGAGCCTTGTGCTTTCAGGACAGAAACTTTACCCACTGAACCATCTCCCCAGCCCAGATTATTTTATCTATCTATCTATCTATCTATCTATCTATCTATCTATCTATCATCTATCTATCTATCATCTATCTATCTATCTATCTATCATCTATCTATTATCATCTATCATCTATTTGTTTTGTGTGCACACACGCCGGATACACATATGTAGGTCAGAAGGCAACTTGCAGGAGTTCCATTCATTTTGTGGGGCCCGGGGATAGAACTCGGGTCATTCATCTTGCTGCATCTTGCTGGCCCAGCATTATTGTTTTCCTATTGTGGTAAAAGCATGTAATAAATTTACCATCTTAAACATTAAAAAAATTATTTTAATTATGTCTGTGTGCGCATATATGTGGTTGCGGTGATAGTGGTATGTGCAGGTGAGTGTAGGTGCCTTAGGAGACCAGAGATACTTGATCCCCCTGGAGCTGGAGTTACAGGTGGATGTGAACCACCTGATATAGGTGCTGGCAACTGAGCTCTGATTCTCTGAAAGTACAGTACTGCTCTCTCTTAACCACTGATCCATATCTTCAGCCCCTTGATTTTTTTTCAATTTTATTTTTAATTTTTATTTTTTTGGTCTTTTTGAGACAGGGTCTCCCTGTAGCCCCACCTGGCCTGGAACTCACTGTGTAGACCAGGTTGGCCTTGAACTCACAGAGATCCACCTGCTTCTGCCTGCTGGATTAAAAGCGTGTGCCACCATGTCCAGCCCCTTGAATTTTTTTAAAATAGTCTCAAGCCTGAGCTTGAACTTCTGGTCCTCCTGCTTGGGCCCAAGTGCTGGGATTATGAGTGTACACCGGATGCCCAGCTTGCAGGTTTTAAATGTGCTGAGCATTTCATGTTGTATGTCAGCCTTCCCCATCAATTACATTTTCTATGACTTTTTGATAACTAACCCCATAGAAATTTTTCCAAAGCCAAGAATTCAGCAGTTGGTACCTAGTGTTTGCTAAGACTTGGAAGGAAGTCAGCCAGGAGACAGCTTTCTGTTGGCGTGTCTGTCTGTGGAAAGAGGGCTTGGCCGAGCACTGAGTTAGAGTAAGGACCTACCCTTTCTCCTTGACCTTGGACTTCTCTCCTCAGCCAGGTCCCCCGCTGGACTCAGCCTTCCACCAGAGCTTGGAGACAGATGTAAGTTCTCCCAGATCTAATCTGTGTGGCGTTCCCAGGGTTGAGGAGAGATGGTTCTAGATCGAGTAGGGAGGGAAAGAGCCAGGTGAGGTCCATAAACACCTCCTTCTCTGCCTTCAGACTCTGTTGACCAAGCTATGTGGACAGGACCGGCTCCTGAGGCAGCTGCAGGAGGACCTGAACAAGAGGCAGGAGGAGAAGGTGAAGAAGGGCCCAGCGACAGCCTTCCCTCCGGACTGTGAAAGTCAAGATGCTTAGAACCCGGAGGACTTGGGGAGCACTTTCCAATCCTTGGGTCAGAAGTGACTTTGGAAGTCTGACTGCTGTCTCTTTCTTTGCAGGAGCAGCTAGAGGCAGCCCTGGAGCTGACCCGACAGCAGCTAAGCCAGACACCCAGAGAGACAGCGGCTCCTGGGAGGGCCTGGGGCCGCCAGCGCCTCCTGCAGGACCGGCTGGTCAGCGTGAGGGCTACTCTGTGTCACCTGGCCCAGGTCAGCATCTGGGAGGGACAGGAGGCCCAGGGACCACAGGAAGGTTGTTCGTAGGCATTCAACCCATCCCCAATTTATTTTAATTTATTTATTTTTAATATTTTGGTCTTTTTGAGACAGGGTCTCCCTGTAGCCCCAGCTGGCCTGGAACTCACTATGTAGACCAGGCTGGCCTGGAACTCACAGAGATCCACCTGCCTCTGCCTCCCAAGTGCTGTGGCTAAAGGTGTGTGCCTGGATTTATTTATTTTTAATATTTTTAATTGTATTTATTTATTGTTTAATATGTGTGTGTGTATGTGTGTGTGTATACATGTGTGACTTTGTGTGTGGAGGGCAGGGGACAACTTATGGGAGTCAGTTCGCTCCTTCCACCATATGAGTCTTGGGACTTGAATTCAGATCATCAGGCTTGGTAGAAAGTGCCTTTACCCACTGAGCCATCTCACCAGCCCCATTCTTAATATTTTATTTATTTGTTGTATGAGTGCATTGCCTGCATGTATGTAAGTGCACCCCTGCTATGCAATACCCATAGAGGTCCGAAGAGGGCATCAGAGTCCCCTGGAGTTATAGACAATTGTTTAGCCCCCATGTGGGTGGTGCTTGGCTTGGGTCCTCTGCAAGAGCAGCCAGTGCTCTTAACTGCTGAGCCATCTCCAGCTCCTAAACCCATAATCTTAAAAAAATTTGTTTTGAGACAAGGTCTCACTACATAGTGCTGACTGACCTGAAACTTGCTGTGTGGGCAAAGCTAGCCTCAAACTTAAGAGAGATCTCCTGCCTCTGTCTCCTGAGTGCTGAGATTAAAAGTGTGTGATACTATGCCCAGCAAAGTGAAACCAAATAAATGATTTATGTTCTATTTTTAATTTTTTTTAAATTTTATGTGTATGAGTGTATTGCCTGCATGTATGTAAGTGCACCCGTGTCCTGCATTGCCCGTGTTGCCTGTGGAAGTCAGAGGAGGGTGTCTGGTCCTCTAGAACTGGAGTTACAGATGGTTGTTAGCCACCGTGTGGGTGCTGGGACTCAAACCTGGGTCCTCTGCAAGAACAGCCAGTGCTCTTAACCACTGAGCCATCTCTCCAGCTCTGATGATTTTTTTTTTTTAATTTTGTGTGTTGGGCTGATGAGATGGCTCAACTGGTAAGGTGCTTGTCACTAATTCTTAGGACCTGAGTTTGATTCCTATAACCTACATGATGGAAAGAGAGAACCAATTCCCATAATTTATCCTCTCCACTTGTGAGCTGTGGCATGTTTGCATGAGCATGTGCACAAACAAACACATACACATGCACACACACACACACACACACGTAAAGAAATCGATGCATGGGCTGGAGCAATGGCTCAGTGGTTAAGAGCACTCACTGGCTGCTCTTGCAGAGGATCCGGGTTCGATTCCCAGCACCCAGATGGTGGCTATGAACCTTAACTCCAGTTCCAGGGGATTCGACGCCTTCTTCTGACAACTGTGTGCATTGCACCACACAGGTACACTAACACACATGCAGGCATAACATTCATACACATAAAATAAAAAATAAAAGTATTTTTTTTGTCTTTTTGAGACAGGGCCTCCCTGTAGCTCCAGCTGTCCTGGAAATAAAATATTTTTTTTAAAAAAAGAAATCGGCTGGGCATGGTGGGGCACATCTTTAATCTCAGCACTTGGGAGGCAGAGGCAGGCTGATCTCTGTGAGTTTGAGGCCAGCCTGGTCTACATAGTGAGTTCCAGGTCAGCTTGGCCTACAGGGAGACCCTGTCTCAAAAAAGACAGGAAAAAAAAAAAAAAGTAAAAAAGAGAAAGGAAAATGTTGAGCACGCACTCTCCATCGTGCCCTCTTTATCACAGGTGCTGTGGATTCTTACACAGAAGTGGACGGAGTGGTGGGTCACCCTGTCACTCTGCTGTGTGCTTAGCATCTCACGGCATCTCAGGCATATGCTGGGGATGAGGTGGAAGGAAGGAAGGAAGGAAGGAAGGAAGGAAGGAAGGAAGGAAGGAAGGAAGGAAGGAAGAAAAGAAAAGAAAAAAGAAAAGAAAAGAAAAGAAAGAAGAAATCGGTGCATAAAGAAATAAACTGTGGCCAGGACATGGTGGTACGCACCTTTACACTCAGGAAGCAGAAGGTGGCTCTCTGTGAGTTTGAGACCAGCTGATCTACATAGAAAATTCCAGGCCATCTGGGGCTACAGGAAGACCCTCAAAAAGACAAAAAAAAAAAGGAAATAAAAATAATTAGTGTGTATGTGGGTATATACACCCATGTGCCACAGTGTGCTTGTGGAGACCACAGAACCAACAGCAATCAGATCTTAGGCTGTATGGCCCTGAGGGATGTATTCATGATTTGCTTGTGTCTACACTAGCAGTTGGGGGTTCCCAGGAGTCAGGCAAAAAGGACAGTGGGAATTGAGGTCTGTGTGGCCTGAGAGTGCCAGGAAGAGGCTCCCCTTCCTACTCAGCTGGGGAAAGACGTGGTGGTTCAGGATGTTAACCTGTGTCCCTCCCTTCCTCAGGAGCGAGAGAGTGTTTGGGAGACATACACTGGCCTGGAGCAGGAGCTGGGCACCTTAAGAGAGACCCTGGAGTACCTGCTGCACCTTGGGTCTCCCCAGGTATGTCCTCACCGTGGGCCCCAAGCCCCACAGCCAAGACTCCAAGTTCCACCCGGTTCTATTGATGTACCAGCCCTGTCCAGTCCATACCTCTGCTTGCTCTCTCTCTCTCTCTCTCTCTCTCTCTCTCTCTCTCTCCCTCTCTCCCTCTCCCTCTCCTCTCTCTCCCCTTTCTATGTGTTTCTGTGTATATGGGTGCATGTGTATGACAGTACATGTGCACATACATGGGAAGGACAACATCAGGTATCATTCCTTGGACACCTCTCACCTTGTTTGTTTAGACAGGATCTCTTATTGGTCTGGGACTTGCCAGGTAGGTTAGGCTGGCTGGCTACCGAGCCCTGAGGATCCACCTATCTGTGCCTCTCCGAGATTACAAGCATGTACCACTGTGTCTGGCTTTGCTTGTATGACCAGAGCCATTTCCCCAGACTCCTCTCTTTTTGTTTGTTAGCTTTGATTTTGTGTTTTTGAGACCAGGTTTCACTATGTAGCACTGGCTGGCCTGGAACTTGCTATGTAGACCTGTCAGCCTTGAACTGAGATCTGCCTGCCTCCACCTCCCAAGTGCTGGGATTAATGACATGTATCACAACATCTGGCTTCCTCTTTGCTTTGAGACAAGGTCTCACAGAGTAGTCACAGCTTGCCTGGAGTTATGTAGCCCGGAACAGATAGAACTTGTGATCATCTTTTTCTTTTTTTAATATTCTATTTATTATTTTTATTTTATGTGTATGAATGTATTGCCTGCATGTATATGAGTATACCCATGTCATGCAATGCCATGGAGGTCAGAAGAGGGCATCGGATTCCCCTGGAACTGGAGTT